AGAGAGAGAGAGAGAGAGAGAGAGAGAGAGAGAGAGAGAGAGAGAGAGAGAGAGAGAGAGTGGAAGAGAGTGGGAGAGAGAGAGAGAGTGATTCATACCTGTTGATTGCTCAGCATCCATAGCTTCCCGTGTGTATGCATATTACATACGACTTGCTGTACAAGCTACGCAAAATTCCTACGTGTTCACATGTTGTGTTGGTTTTCATCTCGTGTGTGGAGCTTGGAATGATCAAGTGTGAACTTCTTGCTTTACTGCAACACCAGCCTGAGTCTGAGGTCTGGTACCTATATTAGCCCCCCAAAAGAGTAGGATCATACCCTAGCTGCCGTCAGCAATGTCTACTACAACTAGAACGCATGTGCCGGCATCATTCCCTCCACCAGGAGACCTGGTGAAGATAAACCCCGAACTCACAACCAACCTTCCCAACGCAGCCTCAAGCGACAGGACAATGCTATGGGTCCAAAGGCGTGTAGTGCAACCCCCGCAGAAGGCAATGAAACTCGAACTCACATTGTCTGCTCTGCGACTCTAGGGCCTTACCAACTGCAGTACTCCACAGTGTGCTCATAGACTTGTCATACGGTTTGTTCTATTTTTTGCTGCGGTAATGAGCATACCTTACGGTCATGGCCATGATTGTTAAATGAACATGCTGCAACTAATTGTGCAGCCCAGACCATCGCGGTCCATCGGTGAGTCCTGTCCACTGTGCCAGGGTGTACCTGGGCTCTGATTGAGTTGATCAGCCCTCCATTCTTCTCCTCCCTCCTTTCTCACTCCAGTTTTTGCCCTTCCCCTCTCTGCACAGCTGTGGTAGCAAGATGCATATACTTGTGTTATGAACCCACATGACTGTACATGAATGCTCATGAGAGTGTGTGACATATTGCATGTTTTGTGGATGGATGCCTGGGCTCATCCTGGTCAGCCATACAGCCATGGGGAACTTCACACTGATCGTATTTGTTTAACACTTGGCAATACCGATGCTGGCATGAAATTTTACAATGGCTTGCTGCTGTAATTGATTGAGAGAGAGAGAGAGAGAGAGAGAGAGAGAGAGAGAGAGAGAGAGAGAGAGAGAGAGAGAGAGAGAGAGAGAGAGAGAGAGAGAGAGAGAGGGGGGGGGGGGGGGGGAGAGAGAGGAGAGGGGGGGGGAGAGAGAGAGAGAGAGAGAGAGAGAGAGAGAGAGAGAGAGAGAGAGAGAGAGAGAGAGAGAGAGAGAGAGAGAGAGAGGTGGAGCAGGGTGAGGAGAATGAGAAGCGAGGAGGGGACATGGAGAAGGAGAAGATTGTGGGGTATACCAATGTTAATGATGATATCTGACATTGTTTTGAATTCTTCTTTGTCAGGAAGGTTCAACTCAATCATTTGTCGCAACACCGAGTCGTCCTGCACCAGAAGCAGTGCCTGCTGCAACTGAGACCATGAAAAAACGGAGCTCAAAACTATTCGGCATAGCATTTGGTGGGTCGAAACCAGCACCACAAAGCTCTGTTCCGCCCCATCCAAATCCTCCAGTCTTGCAGGCGAATCCTCCTGGTCCACAGGTTCATCCTCCCAGTCCACAGGGTCATACTTCCAGCCCACAGGGCCATCCCGACTCACAAGTGCACCCTTCTGAACAAGGGCAAAGAGGCACATCGGACCAAATGTCATCTGGAGCATTCATCAGGGGAAAGCCAATAACGGATTCTTTCCAGGACACTCAGGAGAGAGGATCGTCTCTGCCGGACTACGACGTGTCAAAGCCGCCTCCGGCACCCGCTCGCTACCACCGTCAATGCAGTATCGACATTACATCATTCAGACGTGATGTAATTCCTCCTCCTAAAGACATGCCTGCGGTTCCAGTTGAGCTGGTGGCCAATCTTCCCAATGTCACGGAGAGGAATCCGATGGGTGTGTTTCCGTCCTCTGCACATCCACTGGAAGGGACGAAACAGAGAGCAAAAAGGGACCTGAAGTCACCTGAGTCTCGACCTGAGGACTTCAGAAGGCCAGAGGGAGACGCTCCTGCATTTGAGCAGCACAAGGAGGAGAGGGATGAGAGGTCACGACGGGAGGCAGCAACAATGAGACCCACGCCAAGCCAGCAAGCTCCCCGGGACTTGACACAGATCCGACAAGACCTTTATGGAACTGGGGCATCCATGGAGGAGGAGGAGGAGGAGGAGGAGAGGGAGAGGATGGAGAGGTCACAACAACAGGCAGCAACAAGGGAGCCGAAGTCGAGCAATTATCAACCTGAGGACTTCAGAAGGACGGAGAGAGACCCTCGTGGATTTCAGAACATTAGGGAGGTGGAGAGTTTTGAGAAGCGTCAACCGCAAGCAGCAGCAACAAGGGAGCGCAAGCCGAGCATGCATCAGTACGAGGACATAAGTCCGGTGGAGGGGGACCCTCGTGGATCTGACCAGCACAGGGAGGAGGACAGGGTTTGGAGGTCCAATCAACCGGCAGCAGTCAGGGAACACAAACCAAGAAAGCATTACGATGAGGAGGAATTCAAACGGACAGAGGAGGGGGGCCCGCATGGATTTGATCAACAATGGGAGGAGGATATGTTTGAGAGGTCCAAACGACAGGCACCAGAAAGGGAGCAAAATCCAAGGAGGTCTCAAGATGAGGAATTGAGAAGGAGAGAGGAGGGCCCTCATGGATTTCAGCAATGCAGGGAGGCCAAGAGACTTCAGAGGCCGCAACAACAGGCAGCAACAAGGGAATCCGAGCGCAGCAACCATCCACCTAGGGACTTTGTACACATGGAGGAATATGAACCTCGGGACCTCAGAAGGAGGGAGGGAGACCGTGGTGAGTTTGAGCAGCCGAGGGACGAGAGGTTTGAGACGTCACAACAACAGGCAGCAACGAGGGAACGCAAGTTGAGCTTGCATCAGCCTGACGACTCACGATGGGAGGGAGAGACTCGTACACGTCAGCAGCACATGGAGGAGAAGAGGCCTGAGAGGTTAAAACAGCATCCAGGAAGAAGGGCATCCGATTACGAGTATCAGAATGAGGGCAGCGAAGGGAGGGAGGGACGCCCTCGTGGATTCGCAGAGGGGAGGGGGGAAGAGACATTTGAGAGTTCACAGCAACAGGCAGCAAGAATGAAAGCTAAGTCGCCACAGTGTCAACCTGGGCCTCGTGGATTTGAGCAGCACAGGGAGGAGGAGAGGGTCGAGGGAAGGGAGGGAAGGCGTCGTGGATCTGCAAAGGAGTGGGAAGAAGAGCCTTTTGAGAGGTCACAGCAACAGGCAGCGAGAGAGAAAGGTAAGTCGCCGAAGTATCGATCTACGGACTCAAGATGGATGGAGGACGAGCCTCATGGATTTGAGCAGAAGAGGGAGGAGGAGAGGGTCGAGGGAAGGGAGAGAAGCCGTCGTGGATCTGCAAAGGAGTGGGAAGAAGAGCCTTTTGAGAGGTCACAGCAACAGGCAGCGAGAATAAAAGGTAAGTCGCCGAAGTTTCGATCTACGGACTCAATATGGATGGAGGACGAGCCTGATGGATTTGAGCAGAACAGGGAGGAGGAGAGGGTCGAGTGCTCGCAGCAACACACAGCAACAAGGGAACGCAAATCATCAAGTATGCATCAACCTGAGGACTCAGGATGGAATGGAGACACTTGTGCACGTGAGCAGCACATGGAGGGGAAGAGGCCTGAGAGGTCGAAACAACAAGAAGCAAGAAGTGGGTCTGATCCCAACAAGTATCAGCATGAGGACATTGGGGGAAGGGAGGGAATCTCTCGTAGATCTGCAAAGGAGTGGGAAGAAGAGCCTTTTGAGAGGTCACATGAACAGGCAGCGAGAGTGAGAGCTATGTCGCCAAAGTATCGATCTACGGACTCAAGATGGATGGAGGACGAGCCTCATGGATTTGAGCAGAACAGGGACGAGGAGAGGGTCGAGCACTCGCAGCAACACACAGCAACAAGGGAACGCAAATCATCAAGTATGCATCAACCTGAGGACTCAACATGGAAGGGAGATACTCGTGCGCATGAGCAGCACATGGAGGGGAAGAGGCCTGGGAAGTCAAAACAACAGGCAGCAAGAAGTGGGTTCGATTCCAACAGGTATCGCCATGAGGACATCGGAAGAAGGGAGGTAGACCCCCATGGAATTGCGAAGGAGATGGAAGAAGGGACACCTGAGACTTTACAGCAACAGGCGGCAATAATGGAACCTAAGTCGCCGACGTGTCAACCTACGGTACTGGAAGAAGAGACGTCTGAGAGTTCACAGCAACAGGCGGCAAGGGTTGGGGAAGGCCCTCGTGGATTTGAGCAGCACAGCGAGGAGGAGAGTGTCAACATAGCACAGCAACAGGCAACAACAAAGGATCCCGGGTACGCCAAATACCAGCCTGAGCAGCACAGGCGGGAGGAGAGTGTTGAGAGGTCACAGCGAATGCAAGAACGACAACAACAAAATGGTACTGGAACTGATCCTCCTGGCATGGAGCAGCAGCATCAAGACAAAGGTAGTCAGGAGAAGACGGAAAGCAGGGTGAATAAAAGCATGGATGATGATGAAACAAGACAAGCAGCTTCAACAGAGAGGGAGCGGAGGAGACAGAAAAAAACGGTCGGTAGCAAAGAGGATGAGTCAAGTGATGACCATTTCATGGATTACGCTGCCGGAAAAGCTGCGGTTGCCGCTGCGGCAAAAGCTGCTGTTGCTGCGGCAGAGTGTGCCGCTAATGCTGCACGGGCGGCGGCAGAGTTAGCCATCAAGTTGGGTGAGCAAACCACACAGGGGCCATCAACAGATGGGAGAGGCGCTGAGCAACAGGTGGTTTATGAGGAGGCAAAGGAGATTACCACTAAGACGGATACCATGAGGTCGGCAGATCAGCCGAGTTTGGATGCAAGGGATTACATCAACGTCGAGGAGGCTAATGGCGTAAGCGAAAGGAGGACCAACGTTGCCAAGCGCGTGGAACAAATAGAGAAGAATGTGGTCCTGATGGATCTAGGCGATGGCAAATCCGACGTCGACAAGGGAACGAGCTCCAGTCCTGCGCAGGCAGCTGATCAAGGCCAGCACCCTGGAAACGACCTGCAAGATGGGCAGCTGGTCTCGAGGCGAGCTCGTCAGGAGGCAAGATCAGGTGAGCACACATCTGGTAGAGGTCGTTGGCATGAGAATCAGCTGGGTGACAACGTGGTGGATCTAGGTGATCACAAAGTCGGCGTCAACAAGGGAACAAGCTCAAGTCTTGCGTCGGCAGCTGATGGAAGCCGGCAACCTGGAAACGACCTGCAAGACGAGCAGCTTCTCTCGAGGCAAGCCGGTCATGGGACAAGATCAGGCGAGCACGCGTCTGGTCAAGGGCGTTGGCATGAGAATCGGCTGGGTGACAACGGGCAGATCTCCGGGCAAGCTGGTTGGCAGGCAAGATCAGGCGACCGAAGAGCCGAAGACCCAAAAGGCCAGGATAATAGAACAGGGAGAGGCACCGTTCCTGCGTCGCAGAACCCAATGAGAAGCAATGAGTTGGAAATACCCAAGGCTGTTGAGCAGGATGGAGGTTCAGCACCAGTTGACGAGAGGTACCCTCCGCATCATCCTGTACCTGAGCATCTCTCTCGTTCAGCATCAGTTGACGAGAGGTATCCTGCGCATCATCCTGTACCTGAGCATCTCTCTGGCAAGGCCATTTTGCATCCGTCCTCAGAGCAGACCTTGCAAGCTGGTATTAAAACACACGACCATCCTATGTCTTCCTCAGCCATCCGGTCTGCAAGTCCACGTAGAGAAGGTCGAGAACGTGTTGTCAGTGTGTCGGTGCGAACAAGGCATGCCTCACCCCTTTCAGGTTGCCGATCCCCGAAAGCAGCCGATGAAAGCACTGATCACGGTGTACAAACACCCGGAGATAATCGAGGAAAGCATGCTGCAGGATCACAACGACCATTTAATCAAGAAGAGCAGAAGGACGAGATGCAGCAGTTCACCGACACTGGAAAGAAGGACATCACAGAAGAGGCGCAGCAGCCAACCGATCCTCCAGAGGACACCAAGGAGACTCGGCATCCCGCAGATCTGCCCAAGGACATCGCAGGGAGGCAAACGCAAAATTTTGTGGTGACGTCCACATGGGATGTGCGAACAGGAACCCATGAAAGCATCAATCTTGTTTTGCCCCCCTGTCACCCAGAAAAGCGCATCCTCCCAGGAATGCCGCCACTTTTCTATCCGGGAAAGCCGGAGAAAGCAGGGGCTCAAAAATCAAAAAAGGATGAACAACAGACAGATCTGCAAAAAGACATCAAAGGGACAGTGGAAAATTTTGTGGTGACGTCCACATGGGATGTGCGAACAGGAACCCATGAAAGCATCAATCTTGTTTTGCCCCCCTGTCGCCCAGAAAAGCGCATCCTCCCAGGAAGGCAACCGCCACTTTCCTATCCGGGAAAGCCGGAGAAAGCAGGGGCTCAAAAGTCAAAAAAGGATGAACAACAGACAGATCTGCAAAAAGACATCAAAGGGACAGTGGAAAATTTTGTGGTGACGTCAGCCTGGGATACGCGAACAGGAACCTACGAAAGCATCAACCTCGTTTTGCCAATCTGCGGCCGGGGAAAGTACATTGCCGGAAGGCAAACACTAAGTGACCAAGGAAAGGAGGAAACAGATCCTCAAAATTCATTGGAATACGGAAAGGACCCCGCAGAGATGCAACGACACCCAAGTAGTCAAGAAGAGCAGCACGCAGAGGCTCGACAGTCAGCAGAGGAAGAAAAGGACCCTCCAGGGATGCAACAGCCAATCTTTGTGGCAAACCCGGTCTGTGACGACCTAACGGGATCTTCTTATGAAAGAACGAACGTTATTCCAGGAATGACTGCCTATGATCCAGGGCAGTACGCGGCGAATATACAACTACGAATTGGTGAAGGAAAGAAGAAGGCAGAGACGGGGGAGCAGTCGAGCGATGCAGGACAGGACGTAGCAGAGGGACAACAATCAAACGTTGCGGTGACCGCAACCCACGAGTCCCTAACAGATTCTCATATTAATGATAGTACGACTACCTTTACAGGGTCGTATGGTGATGTGAGAGCGATTTCAGCAATGTCCACCCGTGTGCTAAGAACTTACCCGGGTGACCACAACCCGTGTGCACATATCCAGGAGGCATTACCTGATCGAGTAAAGAAAAACATGGAGGCGCAACTGCAAACCGATCCCATCCAGCACAGCAATTTCCGGGCGACCTCGAACTGGGACAGCGATGAGGAGGACGAGGATGATTGATGGTGCCGAAGGTGCCTGACGCAAAGGAAAACGACGGTGAGAACACAACGAAAGGATTTTGGTTGACGGGTGACTTGCTGTCTCCTTCCACCCAACCTGTTATTATTAATAAGCTGGACCGATTGATCAATGGTTGTGACATCCACATGTGAACGGGACAAACGATTGCGACTGAAATGGATACGAGTACAGATGGGGATAACAATCACAAGTGTAAGCAGCTGATGCGTCCCAACGATTGGATTCGGATTTTGGATTTCCACTCGGATTTAATCGAATGATTAAGTGTCCCAACTTACCCGCAAGGAGAACTGGGTGGCAGAGAGGACCCAGGGGCTGTACAACCTCCTTGAGCATCATTCAGGCATGCAGACAACTACTTAACGGTGAGTAGCACTTATGCGCTTTCATTCTTGCACTGACCACCTCGGACCCCTGCAAATGCTAGTTGTGATGGGAGCTGTGTGTGAGGCTTTGAACACCGCACCTACGCCACTCATTTTGACTCCTTTAACTCTGCATCTACAGCAGACTCATTTCATCGAGCCATTGGGGACAGCCTAGCCCAGTTCTTGTTCTCTCCAAACCTAAGGTTAGATCGCCACATGTCTGAGAGTGACCAGGTCAGCTCTGTGGTTAAGGAACTGATGGTCCAGCTTTGCCATCAGCCGCACGCGCGTGCGCGCGCGCGCGCGCGAGAGCGAGAGCGAGAGAGAGAGAGAGAGAGAGAGAGAGAGAGAGAGAGAGAGAGAGAGAGAGAGCGAGAGAGAGAGAGAGAGCTGCAACAAGTTTGTCGTCTGATCCGCTTACCATTTACAAAGAGGATGACGCCACTGCACATGGTGTCATATCTAAAGGTCGGTGTGTATACAGGCGAGTGAATGATATCTGTAGCAAGCAACTCCTTGCCTCGTCTCTGTATCGTCTGCCATGCCTTTATGGCAGTTTACGCTGACTTTTTTCGGATGGCTTCTTACTGATTCCGATTGATTTCGTGCTTGTAGTTGTGCGTGTTTGATGCAAGCGCCCGAGCGGAGAATGCGAAAGGCGAAAGGGTTTTGTTGAAGTTTGCTCACAGCTTGAATGCGAGGTTTGATGAATTCTCTGCGGCAACCAACCTTGGGCAGCAGCCGGCAAAGCAAATTGTGTATGTTTGCCGATCCGATCCACAGCAGGACCGCCAGCACTCTCAACGAGGACTTAGGTTGGGTGAGTGTAGAGAGGCCTCTCTCCCTTCTCGACTCTTGCAAAAACCACACACCTCAAGAACTTCTTAGAATAAGGGTGTTTGGCATAGAAAGGGGGAGGAAATCAATAAGGGAGAATAGCACTGTAGTGTTGTTACAACGGCAGATGACAAATTGGAGTGAGTGAGAACACTAGAACACTATTGTGACGGCAGATGACAAACTGGAGTGAGTGAGAACACTAGAACACAATTGTGACGGGATTAGCGCGGCTGGTTAGTCTGAACTTCCAGATTGGAGTGAGTGAGAACACTAGAACACTATTGTGACGCCAGAATAGTCCACTGGAAGTCCAGACGGTATAGTCGTCCCATCATCGTGTATGGTTGGGATGGGGCGATGTCTGGCGTGCAGTCGTTGAGGCTTTACGGTCACGGATACACAGCTGCTCTGGTGGGCCACAAGGGGCTGGGGGGCTCAATATCACGCGTTGAGAGAAGGCTGAGCGGAGGAGGAGGAGGAGCAGCTCTGTCGGCATTGCGCTGTGGAGTTGGTTGGTGGGTTGTAGCATACTTCGCCTTTAAGAGGTCGGTCGAGGACACTGGTATGATGGCCGATTACGACGATTAGACTCCACATCTTTGGTAGGTTTCCTTTTTTTCTAGGAAAACAAAAATAAATAAAAAAGAACCTTGCGGTTATAGCTCCTTTCCATTTTGGGGGGCTCTGGTGGGTTTCATGGAGAGGTCAAGAATGACTTTTTTTTTTTTTTTTTTTCAATAAGATCATTTAAGATGGCTTCTTTTTTCATGTATGAGAGTTATTAAAAAAGGGGGGATTTCTCCTTTTTTTTTTTTTTTTTTTTTTGCTAGATAGTTGCCACTACTCGTTCGAGATGGCGATTTTGTAATTGTGACGACTCTCAGCCTCATGTATTATGTAGTGTAATTACGGATGTCCGTTCGTTTCTTGGCCTTGCCGGCTACTATCAATGCTTTATAAAAGGTTATTCGCACAGCCAACTTGACCAAGCTCCAATGCGAGGATCGGCCGTTCGACTTCGGTGACGATGCGCGGGGTGCATTTTTGGCCCTCAAAGCCGCTTTGCTATCCGCGGAGGTCTTGCGCATCTACGACCCGCTTTTCCCGACGCGCGTCACTACCGATGCGTCCGGCTATGGCATTGGTGCCGTCCTCGAGCAACACAATGGCGTGGATTGGCACCCGGTCGAGTATGTTAGCAAGAAAGTGTCCGCCGTGCACTCGATCGACGACGCATGGAAGGAGGAGTTGCTAGCCTTCGTACACGCCCAGTTAAATACACAGTATATCAAATTAATGTATATATATATCGTCAAACAGAGCTGTCCGGTAAACCGTAGGCAGAGAGGGAAAAGAGGGCAACAAATGAGGAGATGTGACGAACTGTTTTGTCAAAGTTTCACCGACTCATCGGGAGGCTGAATATATATGGCATCAACAATGCTAAGCTGGAATTGTAGCAATGAGACATCGAGAGTGTGCCGATGGGCATGAGCATTGAGCATGACATTGTTGTTTAATATTTAGATTTTTTTTCTTTTTCTATTTATTTGATTGCATCATAATCTAGGCCACCAGAGTGGCCCAGGACCACTTGCTCGGCCGGGCCAAAAAAAGAATATAAAATTTAAAAATTAGAAATAAAAATAAATAAATATTTTTAATTTATTTTTTATTTTGAATTTGGATTATTTGGTAAAGAATTTCGATGTCCCCTGAGGCAAATTTTGTTCAGTTTATTTTTCTGCATAACATAGTCTTTTTCCATAGTTTTGGGATTTTCCCCGGTCCTTGCACGGTCGGGCCGCCCGGGAAAACAAGGTGACCTGGGCGGCCCCCGGCTGGTAGCCTAGATCATAAATTATAAACTATAATTATTTATATTTTTATGTTCATGCATTTTTTGTTGACTTCCCTGCAAATGTGGCCCACACGTAGACATGAAAACCGGCCAGCTTCAATAATAATAATAATAATAATATTTAATACTAAGTATGGGCCCTGCCAGATTTTTTGGATTTGTTTTGATTTTTTGCTGGGACCTCCCCCTGTCCTTGCATGGGCCGGCCACCCGGGCGGCCCGGCTGGTAGCCTAGATTTAATATTAATAAAAAATGGACAGCTACCTTTCTCATCTGTTCTCGGTCGATTGCTTTCTTTCTTTCCTGAACTAATTTCAACTCGATTAATAAAATTATACTTTTCTTTTTTTTTCAATTTTTTGTTAATTCGGAAGTGCAACCTCAGGATTTCCTTCCTCTTTTTTTTTTGTGCTTTTCACTGTCTTGATGTCTGAAGTTCTCTGGACCTTTCTTTTTCTCTTTTTTCTTTTTTTGTAGTATGAAAATAGAATGTGCCCAAAAATGAGTACCTAAACCAATCATCTTTTCTTTGGCCAAATATCCTACAAAAATACTTCCAAATGCCAAAAGTATTAAAGGGATTGCCATCAGAGTAGGAAGAGCATATATTAAAAAAAAAAAAAAAAAAAAAAAAAAGAGCATCATGACATCTTTCGATGTCTCGCTTAAAAGCATTGGTTGGAGCAAGAATAGTGAGAAAATGTACACGTAAAGAATCATAAGAAGTCAAAAATACAGAAAGACTTCCAAGCCAAAAAGCCAAATTCCCACTTATGGTATATTTACTATTTAGTATAAGCAAGTTCTAATATCACATCCTTCGAACAAAATCCAGTTAAGAAAAGGTAGGTTGTTCTGTGGACTTTCAACTTTCCAGTCCTTAATTCTGTCCACTTTTCACGTTCAGGAACAGAAATTTTTTTTTTTTTTTTTTCGAAGGTATGGCTTATCGACTAGCAGCAGGTCTCTGAAGCTATGGTACTTGTTGACGGTTGTCATTGTATCCTATGTTTTCCTATAAGGGACGCTGGACTCGGTTTCCAGCAGGTGATGCTCCCCACCAATAGAATGGAGCAAATGAGCAAAATGCAGACCTACTGCCCCTGGGTTTCCCTGTGGCCAGCAGGCGTTCTCTCTGGGTTTGTCTGAAAAGGTCTCTCTCTCTCTCTCTCTCTCTCTCTCTCTCTCTCTCTCTCTCTCTCTCTCTCTCGCGCGCGCGCGCGCGCGCGCACACGCACACGCGCTCTTTTTGTTTTTGTTCTGCCAATCATTTTATTTTTATGAACCCATATAGAGTGTGTTAAGTTATAAGATGAACAACAAACAACGTGATTCTTTTCGTTAAAAAAAAAAAAAAAAAAAAAAAAAAAAAAAAAAAAAAAAAAAAAAAAAAAAAAAAAAAAAAAAAAAAAACAAAAACCACCACCAAAAAAACCAACCAACAAACAAACAAACAAACAAAAACAAAAACTCCGGCAGTTTTCTGATAGTAGTAGTGATATGAACACGTCCTTCTATCAGACCTGGTGGGTGCTCCGGGCTATTGGCGGGGAGCGTGTTTTGTTTTTTTGTTTTTTTGTTTTGGACCATTTATTGATTTACGCGTCGTGTCATCCTTGCGCAGGGGCCATATTAATCTTCTCGGTATCGTTCCACTGTCAATGGAAGTCCCAAAGGACAGGTGGGGAGCGGTTCTTGATCTCTTTTTTTTTGTTTTTTTAATCCAACAAGCGTTGAATGAATTCAAGCAACAGGAGGAGAGAGCCACAAGACGAAGCAGGTTTAGGTCCCATTCCTAAGGACGTATCCCGCTTGGGTTGGGTCATATCCAGTGTAAGGACGAGGACCAATCAAGCTCAAGTGGTCCCAGGCCCAGCTTGGGGTGGGCCCAAGGACATGCGGCTCGGCTGGACAAGCGACAAACGCTGACAGTAAGAAAAACTATGATGCCGAAGCAGCAATCATGTGTTGCCGTGCATGATGGAGTCCCAAAAGTCGGTACACCATCAGTCACTTCCCTTTTTAGGAATCAATTGAGCAAACCTGAAATGATTGCCCAGGTAGGGGACCTCCGAACTACTAGAAAGAACAAAACAAGATTTATTTTTTTTTTCTGGATCTTTTTTTTGTTTTGAGGAAAAGAAACATGATGTGAAGCTCCCTGCGATGAAGTGCAAGAGAAGAAAGAGGCACAAAAATATAAACACTCTCCAGAAGATCCGAAAGTGTCGTCCTATTTTATCCCAGAACCGCTTGCATATCTCAGTACCAAGTTTTGTCAGTTCCTCTTTGCAGCCATACCCATACTGCCATCTTCCCCCAAACACAACGCACCCTCGTTTTGACCGTATCAGGCCGGAAACATACCTTGTATACGTTATTACGTTCAGGGTGCATTACGTTGGGGGGGAGGCGGTAGGCCCCTCGGCTCCCAACAAGTCAGCCGATACTATCGTGAATTGGTCCTTTATCATTACATCAGAGGAGAAGGAAAACTTGTCTTGTTCACTGACAGCAGGAAGAACGTTCGTGGAGATGGAAGGACATTCTTATCGGAATGCCAAGCAGTAGTGGCAGTGTCCTACTTGGGTGTCCACCTAGGCTGCCAGAGTGGTCCGGGACCACTCGCCCGGCTGGGCCAAAAAAAAAAAAAAAAAAAAAAGGACTTAAATATGATTTTATTTTTTATTCCGAATTTGGTAAAGAGTTTCGATATGACCCTGACCCAAAAGTTGTTCAGTTTAGTTTTATGCTTAACAGCCTCTTTCTTTTTTTTTCTTTTTTTCTTTTTCTTTTTTTGCTAACTCTAGTCCTTGCACGGCCGGGACGCCCGGGAAAATAGGGTGACCCGGGCGGCTCGGCTGGTAGCCTTGGTGTCCACTGTATGGACTGGTGACAAGTCTGGCTTAAAAGGTGTGAGACATTTGTTATAATGACCCCGAAAAAAACCTCCTGAAAATTTAGGGCTCTGTTAACCGCTTCTCTTAATGAGAGGTAAAAATCTAGAGTCCTAGACTTACAGGTCTCTGTATTTTGCCACTTCCAACTAATGCATCACTATCTAAGCGGGGCATAGCGGCGGTTAAATCTTTGAGCCTTCCCCGAACTCGACCCAGGTCATCCAACCTATACCATACCTTGCAGCCGAAAATTTAGGGCTCTGTGTTAAACCACCACCACTTCCTAAAGTCGTCCCTGTTAACAAGCCACGATTTTAGGCAACGTACCGGCGACTACAGGAGCACCCAAATTCATCCTACTAGAAACAACGTTTCTACTCTTTTACTTTCCGCGGCCGATAGCTGCGCCAAGTACTGTTTTTTTTGTTTCGTTTTGTTTATTCGTTTGTTTGTTTGTTTCCGAACAGCAGTTTTATTAGGGCCCACTGGCAGAGCCCAAGGCAACAAATAGAATGTCAGAGAGCTGCAAATTCAGGGGTCGCAAGGTCTCCAATCCCGTTTCGTCGGCTGTAGCCCCTCCCCTGCCGAAATCACCATCCAAAATTCGAGAAAGGAATCTTAAAAAGCCCTTCCACTACAATAATGCCAAAGTCCTCTTCAAAGAATTCCATATTCAGAGCCGCCAGCGATTCTACTACAAAAGGAAATCTCAGAAAACGAAGGCGGCTTCCACCGATTTCATAGGAAAGAAATCTTTTTATTTTTTTTTGACACAACACCCCCGCCATTGTCAGTGGTGCTGATAAGAGCAGACACCGCTAACACCTGGGGAGAGGCTCCATCAATTGGTGGGGAGCATCACCTGCTGGGAAGCGAGCCCAGCGTCCCCTATACAGATTGAATTTACAGCGTGTCGGAACAAGAACCCTTCTGGAGGAGTCCTGCCAGCATTGATTACCCTGGCATCCAGGGGATTGACTGAGCAGGAGGTAGGGGAGTGCGGGAACCCCTACACCATAGGAAAGAAATCTAGAAAATCCCAATACCAACTCTCTGGACCCCAGAGCAATCAATGCTGGCAGGGTTTTCTCTACTTCAGTCTGTATTTTCACTATGTATATGGGACGCTGGACCCGCTTTCCAGCAGGTGACGCTCCCCACCAATAGATGGAGCCTCTCCCCCGGTGGTAGCGGTGTTTGCTCTTACCAGCACCTCTAGCACTGGAGAGGGTTGTTTTAAAAATAAACACATGAATAAATAAAAAACTCTGAAAACACCAAAAATAACCACACCGAACCAATCCTAACTAGGGTTTCGATTAATGCCCAAATCATAATGCCCCACGAAATCCCTAATTAGGGTTACCAGGGTTACCCCAAAGAAATTTCCAGCCCTACACAGTTGTTTTGAACCCAAATTAGGAATTTCGGTTCAGTTAATTTTTTTGCATAACATAGTTTTTTTTTATCGATCTTTTTTTTTCCCGCTGGCCCTGTTTTCTTCAGAGAAAAGAGAAAGAAAGGTGCAAAATCCGGATACAAGTTCGTACACCTGTTTTCTTTTTCCAAACGAGCACAAGGTGTGTCTACTTCTGGAGAACCACGCAGCTGGCACGGAGAGCCAGCATCCATATACGAAGAAGGGATTGTGCAATCCCTCAAATTCGGTCAGAGGGGCTTGATCACATTCAAAGGAATTGCATTCATACTTCAAAGCAATTTCAACCCTAGGCTACCAGCCGGGCTGCCCGGGTCACCCTGTTTTCCAGGGCGATCCGGCCGTGCACGGACCAGGGCCGATCCCACCGGAAAGAAAAAAGTAGTCAGTCCAAAAAATCCCCAAAAAAACTACGTTATGCAGAAAAATAAACTGAACAACGTTTGCATCAGGGTCGCGTCAAAATTTTAAATAAAAGATCACTTTGAAAAATCTTTTTTTTTTTCTTTTTTGCCCGGCCGGCCAAGTGGTCCCCGGCAACTCTGGTAGCCTAGATTCAACCCTGATTGCTGACTACACAAAACAACAGTCAGAGACCAGCACCCTCATTAAACCACCGGTACTTGGCCCAGCTATTAGCCGTGGCAAAAAAGAGTAGAACCATAGCTATTAGCCGTGGCAAAAAAGAGTAGAACCATTTCTAGTCTGATGAATTTGGTCGCTCCTGCAGTGACCCATACACTTGAAACAGTTTTCACCTTTGGCAGTAGCCGATGCAGATCCCAGGGGTCGATCCCTTGACCTCAGCTTACCTGTGTACAGTATCTGCACAGTTCCCTGGAGT